ACTTTAAGTGCTTGAAAAACCAATAGCCCAGATCACAGCGTGTAATTTAAGCCAATTTAACTAGGGTACTCCTCCATTGCATCTAGTAGTAGACTTGAAATCGATAGTACCTAAAACCGAGCACGTGAATAAAGGTATTGCACAGCCAAAGTTTGGGCTGTGTCTGACAAACACACTCCCTGCGAAAAATCAAACTACGATGAAAATAAATTGTTTTAATAAACGTAAACAGCAACATCATATTCAGTCACCAAAAAGAAAGAAAATACCCGGGCTAACAGCCAAATAGCCTGAATTCCACAAATATTTATCCACGTGCCCCAAAGCCACCTAATATTCAAATGAACTCTTCGAGCTCCAATTCCCACCCTAGGAGCACAAAATCTACCATATAAAGCTAACAAATCGGAGAAAAAAAGGTCCTAAATTCAAGTCTTTCTAATCCTTCTACCCCCAACTTTTCTCTCTGTATACCCAACAGAATTCTCAACATTCATAGGCAGAGGAGGCTTCTTGTTCTCCTTTCTAGTACTGCTCCTCAGTGAATACCTTGGTGTCGCAGCCTCTCTCTGAACCATCATCGGCGTGGCAGCCACCGCCATTCTCCTCCCGCTGTCAAACTTCTTTGCAGATTCAATTCTGACTCCAAGATTATTCGTTGGCTTCTTCTTATGACCCTCCACTTCACCCTTCTTTCTCTTCAGCCTCTCATTTCTTCTTGCAGAGTACTCTTCATAAAACCTGCCCCTCTCGAACAAAGGACTCCGATTAGTACTCAAAACACCGTTATCAAATTCAGCATCCATGTTTTCATCACTGGTTCCAAATTCTTGGCGCACCATTTTAGCAAGAGCCCTTAATTCACAGGATATGGTGCTGTATTCAGGTCGAAGCTCGAGTTCTTCGACATCCCAAGAGCGTTTAGGCATCTGGGATTTCGTGAAAGAACCTGTTCACCCAAAAAAATTCAATGAAATTTACTAAAAAGGATTAAGAGAAATCCACAATTCATATCAATAAATATAAACACTACTTTTCTCTTGAAATCTTCAAAGTACCTGGTGGGATCTGCGCAGTGTTGCTTGCACTGGATTGAAGAGGACGGCTAGGGCGAAGCCGAATGGGAGATCTGGCAAGTGGGGGTTTGCCATTTGATCTTAGCATCATCTTTGACATGTACAATATCAATTTTTTTTTCCAATAATTGCGATGAAAATGTATCAGAAAAAAGAAGAAGAGGGACTTGTAGTAGAATTACTATGAAGAAGTGAGAGAGATTAATTTATGGGTTGAATTTGTGGAAAGTTTCTTGTAGGGCGTTTTTGTTGAAGTTTTTGTAACAGTAACAGCGTTGTGGTTTCGTTCTGTTTCTAGGGTTTTATTGAACATTATTTTATTACAAGAATTTCAATTTTGAATTTTATGGGGGAGCGTCTCTAACGGTCATATTCTTGATCTGACGGCCGAGAAACGAAGTTGGATTAAGATGAGAAATTGATAGCGATATCAAAATTGTAATAATTGTGAATAATTAACTCCAATTATGTCACAATTATAATATTATTGATGAAATTTTGTTGACAAACTTCTCTAAAGAGGACAAATTTTATGTGCTGTGGGTGTGAAATTGATTTAGACATATTTGGAAGTGATACTGATATACATACATACATACATACATACATACATACGTATGTATGTATGTATGTATGTGTGTGTGTGTGTGTGTGTGTATATATATATATATATATATATATTTTTTTTTTTTTTTTTAAAGATTTCAGATATATCTCCAAGTCTATTATCCATTTTTTTTTATTTTTTATTTTTATTTTGTCATTGTTCCTTAATTTCCCTAATGACACACGATCAAATTTGTCACTTTACCCTTCCTTTGACTTGCCGTCAAATGATTTATATCTAATTTTAGATATAACAATGCTCTTTAATCAAAACAAGTCAATTACACAATCAACTATGCATATTACATGTGCTCTCTTTTTAGACTCCTTTCTTCGCCTCGTTCCCCTCCCTTCCTATCTTGGATCTTCCATCCCTTTCCCCATACCACCATACGCACATCTTTCCCATGCTTCTTTGAAAGCTCAAAAGACTCTCGAGTGACATGGGGGGATGAAGGTGTAGATTGGCTTGGGTATAAATGCACTTTAAAAATAAGAATTTCTTGGGAATACTCTTTATACAAATAAAAACTTTTCACTATGAAAGAGAATATTTAGACAAGATCTTTGGCAAAAAAGTAAATAAATCGGCCCTTCGATATAGCATAAAAATTAACAAAAATGCTATCTAAATAAATTCTCTTTAAGAGATTTGGTATTCTATTTCGAAGGCATCGAGAAACGCAAAGTTGACAACAAAAATGAATTCAATACACCATTTTCACATTAACGTAATTTGGAAATAATTAACGTGGATTTAATTCTGGTATTATTTTTAGAACCTAACTTTGATTGCAAAACAATTTATTGTGATTTCAAGTATATTGCTAAACTTGAATAATTATAGTATCATTAAAACAAAACATCTTTACTTTTTAATGTTATTATGCAAAATGTCATTACCTTTCATTTTTGACATCTTTAACCCTATTTTGACATTTTATTGCGAAAAATGTTATTTTCATCCAATTTCTCAATAAAAAAAAATGTAAAATGATAAATATACCCTTATATTTGAATAAAATAAAAAGAAAAGAAAAATTAAAGAACAAATTTCAATTATACTTACAAACTTTTTAATAAACAATAAACGAGTCCAAATAAATTATTAAAAAGGTAATTAGCACAAAACATCACTACAGTTTAATATTATTGTGTAAAACGTCACCCCTTTCATTTTTTTTGATATTTTCACCCTTATTTTTACATTAAATAGTAAAAATCATTTTCATCCATTTACTAAATAAAAAGATGTAAAATGACGAATATATTCTATTACTTAAATAAATAAAAAAAGAACAATTTGCAGCTATACTTCCAAAAATTTTTAAAAAAAGTACAAACGAATTTCAAATAAATAGTTAAAAAAGAAAGTGATTTTATTTAATTTTTTAATTAATTATTTAAAATTTATTTGTACTTTTTTTTTGAAAATTTTGGGAGAATAATTGTAATTTGTTCTTTATTTTTGTTTTATTTAAATAGGAGGGTATATTCGTTATTTTATAGCTTTTAATTGAAAAAATATATGAAAATGATAATTTTTGCAATAAAAGGTGAAAATAAGCACTTGTTTGAGCCCCATTCTTTAGAAAAAAATGCGTTTTTAAATAGTATTTTGACATCATTTCAACTACACATTTTTCAATAAAATAATATTACACAAATTAAAAAATTTTTCTTATCTTTTAACCACATATTTCACATCATTACACTATTCAAAATTTATTTTATTGGTAAAAATGGGGCCTAAACAAGGGCTTATGGTGAAAATGTCAAAAAAATGAAAGATAGAGACCTTTCACATAATAATATTGAAAAGTAGAGACGTTTTGTGCTAAATACCCTTTTAGTAATTTATTTGGGTTTATTTGCAATTTTTTAAAAAGTTTGGGAGTATAATTACAATTTATTTTTTAATTTTTCTTTTCTTTATTTATTTTATTTAAATATTAAAGTATTTTTGTCATTTTACATTTTTTTAATTAGGAAATTGGATGAAAATAACGTGAAAATACCAAAAAAAATGAAAGTTAAGAATATTTTGCACAATATCATTAAAAGAGAAGGAAGTTTTGTATTAATTACCCAGAACTTAATTATGAAAGAATTACTTTGATTGTATTTTTAACTTCAACTATCCATCCATCATGAAAGTGTCAATTTTAACCTCAATATATAAAAGGGAAAATTGCGGCCGAGGTACCAAACCTTTCGTTTATTAGCAGACTTTATCCAAACCTTTCATTTGTGCCATTGGAGGTACCAAACCTTTAAAAAAATTCACAGGACCAGTACAAAATGACGGTTTCCATTAATTTCTCTGATAGTTGACTATAGGTCAACGATTTGACCAACTGTTGAATCAATTTCAAAGGGTAAAAGGGGTATATAAATATTATTAATAATTTAAAAATAAAAAAATAAATAAACCAACCCACCACCCAAACCTAACCCTTTCTTCCCCATTCCCAGAAAATCCCACTTGCCCAAAATTCCCTACCGTCTCCACAACGCAGGCGATCGACCGCCAGCGCCATCCAGGCCGACAAACGCCACCACCACCAACGTGATCGACCACCACTAAAGATAAAAAAAACAATTACCACCCTAACCCAGTCTTTCCTTTCCCGTCCCATATAATGCTCCATGCCACAAAGTTGTCACTATCTCCACCTAGGTGATAGATCGCCACAGCTATCCAAGTCGGAAGTCATCGCCACCGCCACTGCCATCCAAGTCAGAAGTCATCGCCACCACCATTGCCACCAATAAAGGAAGAACAAAAAAGTGACGAATTTCTTTACTTCAGATCTGAAACAATCGAAATTGATTTAAAAATCAGATTTGATTTTGATGTTTTGCTATTGTTGTGACGGTGGAGTGAATGTTCGATTGCTTGAGGGGGTTGAAGGTTCAATTTCACTCTAAATGCTTGAGGGAGTTGCTAGTTTTGAAGTGGTGGTAATGTCTAGTTGTGAGGAAGCGTTGGGCTGGAGGCTGTGGCGATGATGTGGATGGCCAACAAAGGACATGAATTCAGGTGAAATTGAAGCACAATCTGAATTGAGGTGGCAATGGTGAACGACAGTGGATAGGTTGGTGGTGGATGGCAGATGATAGTTCATGCTGTCCTCATATTTACTGTCGGT